CGGGGACAGCTGGGATGCTGCCGGGTTGGGTCCCACAGCCCTGAGGGGCAGCGCTACGGGACCTACCCGGCAGCAGTCCAACTGCTCTGCCCTAGGCGTTCCCGATTCAGCTGCTGGTCAGTTTTAGCAGCGGCTGAATCGGGGAAGCTGGGGGCAGAGCAGCTCCAATGGTCTGGCTGCTCAGAGCATTTCCGGGTTCCTGATGTTGCCGGACCATCAGATGCCGGACCATCGGAGTTTTATTGTAGTCAGTTGCAGAGTCCTCGGGCTGATGCATGAACTTGGAAATACTCACTATCAAAAAACCCACTGACTCTATGCAAAACCAGGGGGTGGGGAGAGGGGCGGCCGGAAACCTATTTCCTTAAATTTTCACTATAGTATTTGTAGGGGTTACTGTTGCTACACATACAGAATGTTCTGATGGAAATGTATTTAACTGCCAAGATGAACATGTCTCTATAGGTATTTAGGGTTTGTGGTAGTTACCTATGTTACTTAGCAACTGTCACAGGTTTTTGAAACAGCTTTTTAACTTTGGGTGTGGCCTTTCTTAAATGAGAAGCTAGAGGTTTCATAAAATGGGCTCTCCATTACCCTATTGCCAAAACATATCTAAACTAAGAGAATTGTTACCTCTCAAACTGGTAGTCATAGACTTTGGATATGGCTATATTCAAAGGCTGCTTAAAAAAAAAATTAAAAATATGTCCTTTGATACCAGGTCCTACAATCCTTAAGAAAACATATTACAACATGGTGGTAACCATACTTTACAGTAAACAGTTTTTTGTTAATCGTTCATTCAATAGAAAATGACCTGGGCCTCCTATAAATGGTGAAATCTGTACAAATAGATGAGATGCAGCAAACTGTTCCCACTCCAGAGTAAGGATGTTAAATATTGGCTAATTGACTAGTCAATGGAATTTCCATCAACTACTCGACTAGTCCATAGGCTCTTCCGCATTCCTCCTCTGAAATGTACAAGAGCCCCCTCTGACTCTGGGCTGCATGCAGGTGCTAGCTTTGAAATGGAGCCAGGGTTAGCTGGGGAGTCCCCAGGTGACCCTGGGCTCCACAGTGCCACTTGGAAATGTGAAGGCGGATTGGCTGAGCTGCCGGGATTGGCTGTGTGGCGCTGCCCTTTGAACTCCGCCTCTGCGTTTCAAAGGGATTGAGCCTGGGCTCAGCTGTGCATCCTTAACATCCTTACTCCAGGGTATCCCCAAGTGTATTGAATACAAGTCTACCTTCCGAGAAGAGGCTGTTCCTAAAGCAGCTGACTTGACAAAATTCCTTGGTTTCTAAACACCAATTTGTCATTCTTAATACAACTGTATTCACAGCTCTTCCTGATCAGTGCTGCAACCCCTGTGCTCTCTTCCCTGTCCTCTTGTCGCTATTGTTAATAGTGTGGGTAGTTACAGTTCTCTTAACTGTGTTCTCGCTTTGTCATCCCAGGTGAAATAGCTCTATTGATGAACCGTCCTCGAGCTGCCACTGTCGTTGCACGTGGCCCATTGAAATGTGTGAAGCTTGACCGACCCCGATTTGAACGTGTCCTGGGTCCATGCTCGGATATTCTCAAACGGAACATCCAGCAGTACAACAGCTTTGTATCACTGTCTGTCTGAGTTTTTTTTGCTCCCTCTCAAGTACATGCTTCACAAATGCAGACTGCTTTAGTCCCTTGTGCAGAGCCACACGGCCACTGGCATTTGCAGCTTCCTGTCTGTTTAAAGAAAAATTGCTTTCTCAAAGCACCATTTTAATTTTAGAGCATTAGTTCTGTGCTCTCTCCCCCATTCAATAAATAGAAAGTTCTTTGGAGACTTTTGCTGTTACTGCTTCTCTCTGTGCAATGTCTAGTGTCCAACTTGGGCCACTGCTGCGTTGCTTTTTGGTGAAGAGATCTCCTGGCTCCAAGCTAATTGCCTTAGAGTAAGGATGTAACAGTGGAAAATATTTTGTTTTTACAGATACTTTTCAGGTTGTTCAAACTTTTAAGTGGTGGTCCTAATCTGCTGTTTCTCTCCAAAAGAGACCTGCCCTTATAAATTGAGCTTCTCTAGATTTCAATTTTCTGGGTACTGTAATCCTCAGTTCAGTCCTGAGGCATCCACTGCTAATAGAGCCATAGTTGGAAGTTAGCAGTCACTCTGTACCCTTGTCTACTGGTTCAGGATTGCTTGGTTATGTTTTGTCAGGTTTCACGTAAAAGCTTTTAAGGTTTATAGTTCTGGTCAACTGCTGCAAATATGACTTAGTTCTCAGACTCTCACCGCAACTGATCTTTACCTGTCTTGTTATCCTCTGTGGAGTTACTCCTCTATATTGTTCCTGTTCATGAACTCGAAAACCAAACTTTGAGTTAAACACTTCACTTCGGTCACTTGTCCTTAGACTGGCACAAGAATTGTACAGCTACCCAGCTAGTGCCAAATAGTAATGTTTGTGTTCCGGATGCAGTGGAGGAATTGGAAGCGTACCTTTATTTTATTTTTGCCCTGCAGCTTTTGCTTGCTACTTATTTCACAGTTGACTCTGTCCTTCAAAAGATTCTTTGTTAGGTTAACTGTTTGTTACCCTGGAAGCTAATTTTGCCTGTTCACAATCAACACCTAATGCAGGCAGGTTGGTGCAGCTGGTAAATGAGACGAATGCTGTGGGGAATGTGAGGCAGAAAAAGTGAACGTCTTGTTTTTTCCTGCTACTCAGTTTTGTGTGTGTGTGTGTAAACCAACCAGAAGTTATTTTACATCTTTAGTTTTCATTTTAAAGTTAGTCTGAACACACATACTACATCCCCTGTTTCCTCCCCAGCTTTTCAGATCCACGTGGCAAAATATTTTAGATATTTTTGGAAGTCAAACCTGTTGCTGAGTCTTAAATGTATTTCAGTATTTACCAGCTTTGTGTTACATTCTTCTGTGCACACCAATGTTACCCAACAACTTTTACTGAATTCCACAGTTAATTAATGTAGGCAACCTATGGCTTCCTTTAACCTGTAATTTATATACACTAGACTAGGGTTGTATTTGGGAGTGGCAGCAAGCATTTTTGCATTCATTATGCAACTGTTTCTAATGATGGTTCCCTTCTTTTTTTCCTGTCTGAGGTAATTGGACTTGGTAGACTGCTTTCCCAGCTTGTAGACAGTTTGAAAATGTCTGCTCATTGGACATAAATACAGGGTGTTAGATCTGTGAGGTTTTGGGGATCTTTTTTCCAGTGTCCACAAACTCCCTGTGATGGGATTAAGTGTAAAATGCTTATTGTGTGAACTATTTTCTTTTTTTCCCCTCAAAAGACCTTTGAGTGGAGGATTCCTACCCGTGCTCTACTGGAGTAAAGAAAACTAATTTTGTAAAACTATTTTCTTCAGTTTTCAGTCTAGCTAGGTTTTTTCTTCTTTTTAGTTTTGAAGCTTGGTTTGATCTGTGTTGAAGCACCAAAAAACAAACACCTATGTAAAAAAGTTAGAGCTCCACACAAAAAATGCACATTTTTTATATAAGGCTTTCTAATCAAGTTTCACTATTGCATCTTTTTAGCTTGCTGTTTACTCCCTTTTGTAGTTTTACCTACAAGATTTTAAGATAAACCAGCTAAGTCTGAGTTAAATATTAATCACAGTTATAGCTTTACCTTTGTGTGCAATTTAAATAGGTTTGAAACCACAAATTGGTATAGTTTGCCTTAGCTGACATTCAGGGCTTTAGAAGTAATCTCTTGCTAGGCCACCTTTAGCAGATTTATGAAGTCTACCGCCCTAGAGAGCTATAGTCAACTGGAGGACCATTTTTGTATTATCTGACTATATAAGTCTGATTTACTGTATGTGCTAATATATTATTCCTTTTTGTTATAGATTGTCCTAATGGCAGGTAAAGCAATAAAAATGATTTAAATTCTTAAATGCAATCCTTTTCGTATCTTCTTTTGCTGTGGATGAATTGTTAATGAGTTGTAGGAAGCCCAGTAGCTTAATGCTTTAGCTTTTTACCTCTGCAGACTTGAGTTCAAATCACAGCTTAGCTCACAAATGAATTCCCTTCCTAACACTTACCCCTGTGCTTTGTTTGTAAAGCAAAGCATTTCCTCTTGGACATGCAACTTCTTGATATTTTGGAGCCCTGACTAGGATCTGTTCACAGGTATTTGGCATACATGACCAATGGAATAAACCCTTGTAAATCTGCAGGTTTTTGAGATGCAGATTTTACATATCATGTCTGTTTTTTCTACTCCTTATCTAGCTACAACTTGCTTTACCCCATTCAGGATTGCAAAGTGCTAACTGTGTCGCCATTGCTGGAGCTCCTAAGCATCCTTAAATTGTCCACCCTCATCTCAGACGTAACCTCAGTGCAAACTGACTATATGGTGACTATTCATGCATGTCTTGCTGGGAACATGAAGAGAAATAGGAGAGGTAGGTGTGATTCTTAACTGATTCCTGCAGCTACAAAGCCAGAGTAACATCACTGATGATTGGAATCTCCCTAGTGGTCCAAGGAAAATCTGGTCTGATAATGTACAGCATCTGGGGTAGATGGAGGTGGCTCCTGGGCAATCAACCAGCGGCATAGTTCCCACTGTGAAGCTGTGCACAAAAAATTCTTCCCCTGTCCACCTCTAGAGAGCCCCGTTCCAGTGGGTGGGGTTGGCTGAGATGGCGTGGTGAGGGAGCCGCTGTGGCCAGGGGCCAGGACTTGCAAGGGAGGCCTGCTCCTGTGGCTGGGGCTGCCGTCTGGGGCCAGGAATGGTTGGGTGGGTGGGTGTGAGTGTGTAAATTGGGTGCTGTAGTGGCACACATCTAAAACTCCACTCATGGTTGGAAAACTTTAGAGGGAGCACTGGCTAGTGGTGTTCTGATCTATTTTTCCTGGTGAGGTCAGCAGCTGATTGAGCCTCAGCACAGTTAAGAGCAAGGGATCAGCCCTAATCCCTCCCTCTATACAAATGTATGTTTTTGTTACTAGAAAATGTGTAAAAATGACCCCCTGGATTTGTCCTATTTTTCTGCAGTACACTAATGTCACCAGTAGAGGGAGATCTAACTTTGAGAACATTCAGTCATGCCTTGAATAACTACATTTATTATAACCCAGTCGCTTCTGCACTAGAAGCGGCGGGGTAGGGACAACACCAGCATGCAGAGCTCTTTTCAGCACAGCTAGAAAGCAGAGAATCCGTTCACTGCTTTACATCGAGAACTGCTTTTGTAGTAAAGTACAAAGTGCAAACAGTGGATGAATTATGACTCAAGCCAGGCCACTGTTCTTTGGTTTATTATCTTTATTAAATTAAAATATTTAAGGAAGTTTGTTTTAATAAGACAAAACAGATCTAACTTCCTCAAACATAAAAATCATTGTGGATCTGTGTTTTGCTTCCCCACATGATAGATTAACAGAGATTTACCACTAACGTTGCCACAGAATCCCAAAGAGGATGTTAGCTTTGCCAAAACATGATCCTGATTACTCCAAAGGATAATTAGCGTGTTGTGGACCTGTTACAGTATGTTGACGTCTAGCCAATTTAAAATGGTTCTGAAGCTTAAAGTACAGTCCCAAGGGAAGCGTGGGTGGGAGAGGGACAGATTTGATTGAGAGTTGAGATTAATCTTCATTTTGTGCCCATTATCAATCAGTACAGCTGGTCCTCAACTTATGAATGTGTTACGTTCCGAGCACTTGGTCGTAACTCTATTTGTTCGTAAGTCGGAAATACATGCTTTTGCATACAGCCGCGCTGTTCGTAAGTGCGGATGGTGCGTTCATAAGTTGGGGACCGGCTGTAATGGGGTTAATGGGAGGTTGGTTTTAAGTGTGGATGGTCGTAAGTCGATGCATTTGTAAGTTGGGGACTGGCTGTATTGAAAACTCTCTTTAAATGGCAAATTTCAACTAGCAACATAACTAACCCTGAGACAGCTTGCTGAAAGCCGGGTTACGAACTCTAGTTGAAATCCATGTCTTTTTTTTTTTTTTTTTTGGCAGAGGCTTAATGTGTCATGTGATCAATTCAAATTCTCAGCTGACAGGTGTCAAACGTTCTATCCAGTCAGCCACAGAATACAATGGTGTTGATAATTTGACACAGATCATTAGAAGATGAGCAATCACTCTCAACTGCTTTCATTAGGTTGCCAAAAAAGCTCAACTCCATCATTCTGAAAATGGTGCAGGGTGGTAAAGATTCAGTTTGCAAATCAGTTTGCCTATGGAGGCAAGGGGAAGATGACCACGCGTCTAAGGGCCTTGGAGGAATCCTGGCTTTGATTTAGTCTCCAATTTCTAAGATACTTGATCTGCAGAGGGGCTATGGAGAATGATGGATCTGTTGCTAGCTTCCGCTGTATCCTGGTGGGCTGCTGAACAACGGCTTAGACAAATGTTGGTTTTTAAAGCTGTTCCTCTGTGCTTGTGTTCACCGGCGAGAGCACCTCGTGCTTAGCAACCCAGTTCTCAAGGCAAACACCCTCTTGGCTGTGTGGATTTCAGTGCTACATCTTTGTCAAGCTCTTTTATCTTTTCACAGAGCTGTGCTCCTGGGGCCTAAAGAAAACGAATGCTAAGTTGACTCTTCTTGGAACCCCACAGCATGTTTCCTCTTTCTGCCCTTGTAACATTAGCTAGAAAGCTCAAATATTTGGCTGGGGGAGGGGCTGTGCGCCCCACACCTCCTGTGGAGCTGCTTGTCAGTTTAGCTGTGGCTGATGGAGGGGTTTCTGATGGCATGATTAGTGGCCAGGCAGTGCTGAGCTGGCCCCTGGGCTGCCTTGACTTTCTGGTGACAGAGGTTGCCCTGGCTTGCCATGGGGAAGGCCCCTCTTAGTCCAGTGCTTCACCTCACTCTCAGAAGCTGGCCCCACATGCTTCCTGTCAGTGTTGCTTTATTCAAGCCTCATTCTTGGGTTTGGTGTCTCTCGGGGGCAGGACTCGGCTCTGGGGTAGCTACAGTAAAGCAGTGCCCCGGCTCCTCCCAGGGGCTGCACAAGCTACAGAGCAGATGAGGCCATGCTGAGCCACTGAGGGGGGAGTAGCTTGAGGGGCAAGTCTAGAGGCCAAGCCTGGGCCTACAAGTGTACTTGGCAAAAGTTGACCCCCTGCCCGAATGCTGGAGTGGTGCGCTCTTGCTGAGCAGTGTCCCCATACGAGCCCCGTAGGAAACCGAGCTCTTCCCCTCGAGTCCCACAGGCTTGTGTAGGTGAAAATTATGGGCAATTAAAGTTCACCTGCTGCCTCCTAGGAGCTCTTTCCTGCCCCCCAAAGGATCTGCCAAGTCTCTAGCTGGCTGGCGTCACTCTGTCGAACAAGGGCATTTCCAGCAGTTTGGTGTCATTTGCTATGACTTTGTCTTCTCCGTGGGTCTCTATGCATTTCCCCACAGTCTCCAGGATGTGCCCCAGTCGTCTGTCCAAAGCCAAGAGGTGAGGTTCCGTGAGGACGGGCGCAAGGTGATCCAGCAGGAGGGATTCCCTCATTATGTCACTGAGCTGGTACTCGGGCAGGGCCAGGAGCTGCAGGCGCAATAACGTCGTCCTCTTGATTCTGGGAAAACAAGGATGTGGGTTAGATGCTTTTACACCAACTGCCTGTATCTTCTGGGCAGCAAGCTGCTGCCACGGCCCAGCCCTGTGCAAGTGGGCAGTGGCTCAACTGGGCTGAACTAGATGTTTATGTTCCAGTTGTTGCTGGGGAAAAAAAGAGTAGGGAGATGGAAATGGACCTAGCTCCAGAACACTCGCTTGCTTTCAAGTGTCCATGTGTAAGGGGCAGTCTTAAACGGGGATGTGGAAGTGTAACTGTGAACACACTTAACGGTTACCCACAGGATCCCGGTGTGCAAGGGGGCCTGGCTTAAAAGCTGCACACTCCAGCTCCCAGAGAGCTGCCTGCTCCCCTCATCCCCTGCACATTTTAACATCCCTAGTTTTAAAGAGACTTGAGCTGAGAGCTGCCAAGCCAGCAATAGGTAACCCAAGCTAGTGATTGAGCTGGGTTAATGGCCCTCTGTCTCAGTGGACCGCAAGATTGTTGTAACCCAGGTGATCTCCTGGGAGAGGGTAGGTTTGCTCTCTGTGCTGGTGTATCTAGAATTTGCAGGGTGTGCCGACGGAACCGTAGCGCGCTGAGATTGGGTACAGAGGGAGCACATGCCTCTCAGTCGATGTATGCAGTCAGCCTGTCCCTCACTTCACGGGCCCTTGCTGTACAGATGTGTCTACTGGTAGGAAAAAGCCTATGCAGACAGAAACCAGCAGCATCTAGCAACCCTGCACGTGGGTAACGGTAAACAAAGGATCTGAAGAGCTGCAGGATGTCCACCACTGCGCCAGGCTCTTTACCAACCAGGAGAAGCACCGCAAGGTAGCCGACTGCTGGTTTCAGTCTTACCTCTGTTTGGCTTTAGCTTTTCTTTACTGGGCCAAGGAACCACTTTTACTATCTAGCTATAAAACCTCTATGTGCATTGAGGGCACTCTGTACGTGATGGCAATACGTCTTCGACACACAGACTAGGGCATATTGTGACCGAAGTCCCTTCACCTGAATCTAGCAGGCTCTTTAATCTACGAGGCAAAGGCATAATACAAAGCTGAAAAAATGCAGAAAGGGGAAATAAGTTGTCAGTGCTAAATGATGAAGGGCTGTGACCTTTGCAGTTGCCTAAGTGTGGGTTGCTGCTCCGTTAGTTAGTCATTAACACCAGCAGGCTGTCCTTTTACAATAGAGTTGGACTGGATTGTCAGCAGTGCAAGCAGTGGATTTTACTCGTGTGAGGATACGGTCTATGCTCTAATGCCATGTTTCTCAACTTTATATATTAAAAAAAAAAGTACCCCTTTAAAAAAAATTGAGTACCCTCAGGACCTACAGTTTTCAGACACATGCCATTTTTTCTACCATTGCAACACATTTGTTTAAGCAACTTAATTGTAGCTGATGGGCGATGAAAATTTTGGGTGTAAAGTACAAAAATAATAAAATGCTGTAAAACTTAAACTCAGTTTTCTCCAAATTTCAGTTGTTGACACATCCCCCGCCCCCAACTTCTCTTGTGTACCCCTAAGGCTACTCGTACCACTGGTTGAGAAACATTGCTCTAATGCAGCCACAAGTTCTTGGGCTTCATGCTGGAATGAGTGGCTGAAATTCTCTGGCCTGTGTTACACAAGTTCAGACTAGCTAGTTGGAAAGGTTCCTTCTCGCCCTAATACGTATGACTCACTTTTGTGCTTTCCTAGAGAGCCATTTTACTCTTATAAAATAGGCTGGCCTTCCTGGTGGGCACAATGGGTGTTCATCCTTGCTGGTGCTTGAGTTGTACTCTTGCTCTGTTATGTAGTTAATTAGCTCTTGGAAAGTGCAGGGGGTAGCTTTTGTACCAGCCATGTTGTCCAAAGGAAGCCAATTAAAAATGCCCGCTGGCTGGTGGATTTGTGATGAGGGGAAGGATCCAGCCTATGAAGATACTGCAGTTCTGGCCAAGTGGTGAGGCATAGTTAATTTCAATCACACAAAATAGAAATTCATGGGAAGGATTTACTGAAACCCTCTGACTTGCAAATTAAAGTCTCACTAGGTGTGACTAGCTGCTTTTAAAATCAGACCTGGCTAATACAAGTGTACAAAGCGACAGTGCCATTAGCATCTCAGGGCTGAGATGCAGCAGAAATGGCAAAGAAATCGGTTTAGCCATTTCCTAAAAAGAAACCACAGGGACCAGCAGCTCTTGCTGTGGCTTTTAAATGTAACTTTCACCGGTTGATTTATGTGAATTAATAAGGGAGTAGCTGAGAGGATTCAAGTAGGAAGTGCTTGTCTATTTTCCTACCTAACAAGAGGGCAAAACCAGATTGATTAACTGTATCAGGGCTACTCAACTTTGTAAGCTTCGGGGGCCACAATGATCCTCTCGGCACATGCTGAGGGCCGCAACTTAAGTGTGGTTGTATACACATGCAAATATATATGCAAATAGCTTCTTTCACACTGACAGGTATGAATACAAAGACTAAGGCAAGACTACGCAACACACAGGCCCCATTTAAGTCAGTTCTGCTGCTATTAATAAAATGCAATATTTACCCCATTTCCACCCATATGTCAGCACTTTTAATGAGCAATGACAGTCCAGGAATTTTACTAAAACACATATCAACAGAAGACCATTATATTGACTACTTTTTTATTTTGGCTCCCAGCCGTGGGCCGCGTGTTGAGCCCTGTGTAAACCTAAACTGTACCATAGGCTGCATGTTGAGTAGCCCTGAACTATATCAAAGTCCTCCTAGACTTATAAAACTGGCAGGATTCTAAAGAATTGGGTCTGAAATTCACCTTATGCCTTCATTGGTTGACCATTTTGATGGATAAAAGTAAATCTTGATAAGTATTGTTGTAGTTCTAAAACAAAATTCATAGTTGCACAAAATAGTGGACATTAAATCCTTATTCCCTGATTTGTATTGATTTTTATCACAAAGAAATTGTGTGTGTGTGTGTGGTGGAGGAGGATGTGGTTCAAAAAGCTAAAGCTTCATACATGTTAAAACACAATTTGTCGTCATCCTCCGTTGCAATAGAAAAAGGAAATAGCCTGAAATCAAACTCTGATAATTTCTCAAGTAGTGTTTTTCAGATGTTGCCTGTCTATACATTTTGATTGTTGAGGTGGAAATATTTTTTTCATTGGTTTCTGCATGTGCAGTGAAATCCATTTATATTGCCATTTGCTGAGAAAAGTCAGGTCTACTCTTACCCCCAGGTTGATGAGCTAGAGATCGATCTCCCAGGGTTTGATTTAGCAGGTCTAGTAAGGACCTGCTAAATTGACCACAGAGAGTGCCCCCATTGGCTCTAGTACTCCACTGGGTCACAAGAAATAAAGGAAGTCTGTGGGAGAGTTTCTCCCATTGCCCTCCCACAGTGGGCATGCCACAGAAATTTGACCTAAGGTATGTTGACTCCAGCTATGCAGGTCTGAGGGCCAGCGTTCTGTATCTTTGGTTGACTTTCCTTGGTACTGTAGACCTGGCTGAAAACTTAATCCTTCCAATCCTATGCATAGATTAGCTACCCAATCTTTAGGGAAGAAAATGTAACCATGCCTACTTAGTGAGGCTCCCTGTCCCCCTCCAGTGGCTCCAAGACCAGCTAGTGATTGATGAGCCTGCAACAACCTTGGCTCAGAGGGATGTGCCTTTTAGCTCATGCAGTAAATGCCGGAGCTCCCAGGTTTGATCTCCGTGGCCACCAGCTGTTGTGTTACAAAAGCAGGGCTGTACTACACCTGTTTCAAAGCGGTGCTCTTCTGCACCAACAGTGTCAATCTCAGGAAGTACAATGTAGCGCACTGCAGCAGCATAGAGCTTAATGCTCTAATATTGTGCTGGGTAATGCCAGAGCCTAGTACCCTGTGGAGTACTAGGATAGACTATGATAGTGGTGTAGGGCACAATGCTGTGATGTTAAAATAATACCTCAGCTCTCCTCCCAAACTCCCTTGGTGCAGTGGAGATGATTATCAGGGTCAGAGTAGCCAGCAAAGAAGAGTAACCAAGTTTGTCATGTCACTTACATGCAGCACTGGGAGAGCGGAGCTAGGATGGATATTTCGTCATGGGAATGTCTTCCAAAGCTAGGGACAAACAGAAGACAAGGGGTGAAGAGTCGGTACCGCCACCCAGCTGGGCGCACAACTCTGCCTGGAGGGTCTGATCCTATCTGAGCTGTGTTCAGCAGAAGGACTCAGTGCCTGGCTGGATCAGCCCCTTGGTTCACTAATAGACTGAAACAAAACTGGCCATGGGACGTGCTGGAAAGACTGAGGGGCTGGGGCCTGCAGGAGCAGGGCTGTTACAGGTTCAAGGGGGCTGGCAAAGCTGGGCAGAGCGGATCTGCATTGTGCCTGCCCAGACATCTGCCCCTTTGGAACCATTGTACCATCGGCCCACCTCCCAGCTTCATTCAGCCTCACCTACACCCCCCAGCACCTTTTGACCCTCCCTCCCCCAGTACTGTCTACACCGATGATGCCTGGCACTCAGCCCCTTCTGTGTGTCCACCTGCTGTCCTCACATTCCAGATGCCCTGAAAGTCACTTACCCTCTAGCGTTGTCCAGGTGAATGAGGAAGCCTTCGTCCCCGAATTTAGTGAACATTTCATAGTGATGCCGGTCCATATTCCCTTGGGGGAGAGAAAGCGAGGGAGAGAACATACTGCTGTGGCCGTGCACAGAGTCGGGAGCGAGCACCCTTTGAACGGGCCAGTGTGCAAGTGCTGGTGCTGTCACTCTTGAGCAAGGGCTGGGATATTTGTGCAGCACCAGCTGGTGTTACCAGACAGGCATAATAGCCTGCTCTCCCCTCGTGCCGCCAATCCAGACAGTCCATCTCAAAGCGCTTTGCCAGCTGAGAGGCACTTACCTGCCTGCTGGCTAGTGCGGGGCTTATCTGACCCTCCTCACCACAGTGTGTCAGAATCTGAACGTGCGGATTAGCCCCCTTTTACAGAGGGGGAAAATGAGCTACCCACGGCGGTGCCCTGCAGCCGAGGCTAGTGAGTGGGCCACCTGCGTGGCCCCTCCTTTGTCTTCGTGGGCCACAAGATTGAAATGGGGCATGTGCACCAGGTATGACCCCAAGAATAAGGTGAAATACTGCACACTCGACTCCCCTTCTCAGTACCCTGGGCCAAATTAAATTGCCAGCAAGAGTAACAAAGAAGCAGAGGGAGCGCCCGGCTCGCTCAGTGTTGTGTGCAATCAGCGTGCCCCTGCTGTCAATGTGTCACTTCTCATTTCTCGACCCCACCCCCTCTGCTGCAGGCACTGCCCTCACCTCACCCCACCCCTTCCCTCAAACCCCCACCTGCCCTCTTCCCTTCTTCCTCCCCCGAGTGCCCCCGTCCCGAGTGCCCCCTCCCTCCCAGCATTTCCGGAGCACTACGTAGCAGTGCTCGGGAGCTGCTGGGAGAGTGGGGGAGGAGTAGGTAAGCTGAGGGCACCCAGTGCAGGAGAGGCACTGGGGAGAGCGGAGGCGGGCAGCATGCAGCCTGCGGGCTGCCTAAGGGGCCTAGGCTCCTTTTCCAGGCTTTTCCTCCCGGAGGGTGAGTGGAAGACAGACATCTGCCTAGGCCAAGGGCACGCAGTCACCCCAGTACGGAGGGCGTATAAATTCCTGGCTGGAAGCCTCTGGGCATCTCTTGTGTCTGTCTACATTCATTGCCCTCAACCTGGCCGCCAGGGTCTGACTAGGGAGACGAGGCCCCCGGGGGGCAGACTGCAAAGGAGCAGGGGCTATCCTGTGCGGCACCCACACTCCAAAGCTGCCTCTCCGTTGCCTGCCTCCCCAACCCCAAGCGCCTGTCGCTGCCGGAGCAGAGCTAACACGGGTCAGGCAGCAGGCTCCTTCTCGGGCTTCTGTGCTGGCCCCTGCTGAGCGGGGCTGCGTGGAGGGGAAGCCACCAAAGAACACAAACTGAAGCGATGAGGAAGAAAGAGAAACGCCCCAGAGAAAAGGGTGGGCAGGAAAAAGACGACGTAGCAGAGCTGATAAAGCAGAGGGGAGCTAGAGCAGTGTTTCTTAAACTTTTTAAGACTGAGGAACACCAAACCATTTTTTTTACGAGGAACAGCAAGGATTTTTTGTTGAACAAAAAAAAGAGGAGGGTGAGGAAAAGTTATTGACAAAAAAATAAAAGGGGTCGGGGGGGAGGGGTGTTATTGAGCCAAAAAAAAAAAAAGTCACCTGCTCCTTTAAGGGTGGCCATTTTTAACTCTTGTTCTCTGTGGCACACCAACTGCCTCGTGGCACACGGATGGGCCGCGGAACACATTTTAAGAAACACTGATAGAGGATGTCGGGCTGAGGAGATATTTACTAGCAAGGCAATTGCAAAGGTAGCTCCACTAAAGAAAGTCAGAGGCTCTGCGTTAGCCCTGTATGAAAGGGGCTCCCATGGGCTCCGGCAGGTACATTCCTGTCCACCCACCAGTAAACACTGTGTCTGGTGTGTCCTGGCCCTTCTGGGCTCGGCAGTTTACTGCCCCGGCCCCTCTGGGCTTGCTATGCACGTTATGAAAGTAAAAAAATATTGCTTGAGCCCGGACCCGCTTTCATTACAACTGAAGCGCTGCCCACGTCCATGGGGACTCTGTTGGCTGGGCATCGTACGCGCTTGGGGCGAGACGGGAGCCTCAGAACGGACCTTTGTCTTGCAAATTGCTACGGAGCCAGGGTAATATTGGGAACGTGGCTTCTGAGTGACCTGGGGAGCAAGGGGTGGGAGAGGGGAGATAGACACAGGAGGAGGAGGTGAAGGAAGATGGAGGGAGGCGAAGGGAAGGGAGCGGTGAGAAGCAGAGCACTGGATGGTTGTTATTCCGCTCATCCTACCGATCAGGAAGTCAAATATGGCCATGTCGATGATGTTGAGTAGCCGGTTGCCGCGGTTGTAGGGGTAAATCTCCCTCACTGTGTTGCAGTAAAGCGGATTCACTTCCCACCTGTGGGAAACGGAAGGGAAGCGTGAAGGGCAGCGGCAGCCTCGCAAGGCGGCGTCTCCCGCTGGAGTCGCTCAGTGGCAGGGACACGGGCGCGGTTAGCCCAGCCAGCTCTGCCCGGCCACGCTGCCGTCCGCCGGGAGAACGGGCAGCACGGCGGTGCCAGGGGCTTGATTCAAGGCTGGCATACCGGTGACATCACTGCTATGCCAGCTGCTTACACCGGGGCTGAGTTTGGGCCAAACGTCTCCTCAGCGCCCACCACGTCGAGCTGGCTGCCCTGCGCGGCAGGCTTGCTCGTGTCTTGGCCGCCACAGGGAGATCCCCCAACCCCAGCTCCTCTTCAGGAGAGTTGAAACTGCTCCTACCTGCAGCATCCAGAGGGGCACGGGGAGTGATTCTGCACCAGGCCCTGGCCTTAGGATCTGGGAGGCCACTTGCAGGCAGCCTCTGAGTCTTGCTGCCCACCCCCATCTCACCCCCTTCTTGATGCGCCTTCCGCTGCACCGGAGCAAGAGTCGGAAAAGCAGAATCATTTACCCACTTACTCCTCTTTTCCAGCAAACGAGTAGGACCGGATCCAGGGGTTGGGGATGGAGAGTCTCGGGGCCAGGTTGAGGGACGGCAGGAAAGCAGAGAGGGAGCCCTCCAGCATGTGCGGGTTCCCACACACGGCATATTCCGTCTTGCACATGTACGGGCACTTCGCAAAGAAACACACGTTGCTGGCTAGGGGACGAACAGAGAACCAGGTAGGTAACATCACACATTGGCTGTTGTAGTTGGGCATCGCTGCTGGGTGGGTTTGGAATGGCTCAGCTTTGGGTCATAGGCCCTACACTGCCAACACCCAGTGGAGAGTCACCTTCAGCTCATGTGCTACAATGGTGTCCATGCATCAGGACTGTTACTGCCAGGCAGCTCTGAGTGATCCTGACATTCAGCAAGTCCAAGGGCCACCAATTTATAATAATAATAATAATTGCCCAGCTGCTCCGAGGTTTGGGGGGCAAATTTTGCCCCATCCCCCCGGGAGCATCACACCCTCACCCAGTGGAGAGTCACCTTCAGCTCATGTGCTACAATGGTGTCCATGCATCAGGACTGTTACTGCCAGGCAGCTCTGAGTGATCCTGACATTCAGCAAGTCCAAGGGCCACCAATTTATAATAATAATAATAATTGCCCAGCTGCTCCGAGGTTTGGGGGGCAAATTTTGCCCCATCCCCCCGGGAGCATCACACCCT